CGCACGGTCCGCTTTACAATCAACATTTCAGGGTATTTATATAACTCAGGTAGAAGAAAATTCGCCAGCAGAAAAAGCTGGCCTTAGGCGGCATGATAAAATTCTACAGGTAGTCTTTAAGATCGTATTCTTCAACCCGTGTGTTCCTCATGATGTTAAAAAATGTAAACATGTTGAGCACTGCGGCTTTTTTTGGTTTTAGTAGCAAAAAGTTCTTTATAATTTTAGGTGAACGGCTATGACTTCACAATGGTCACCCACGATAAAGCCGTTAAATATATTAAGAAGTTTCCAGTGCTGCATATGTTGGTAGCTCGAAGTGACATGTTCTGATTCCTTCAGTGAGTTCTCAGTGGAAGTTTAAGTTAGCTTCTCAAGGAGGAGTAACAATGTTTTCTGTTTAGATGCCATTAGCTCTACTCGGAGCAGTCGGTACGCCGCGACTTATGTGGAAAAACATTTGCTTTCATTTTGCATCCACACCTCTCATTCCTGTAAAGCTCTTGTAATAATATAATATTATGACCTGCAAATAATCTACATTTGAAACGACACTCCTTTGAAACGAACTCAAAGCGGGCTTGTTCCAAAGATTTGACTTGAATTCATTGATAACCGCACCTTGAACCAGGTACAAGCTACCAATGAGAAGTCAGTCAAATAAATGCAGTTAATATTTTCTAGATACCACAATGGAACATGCATTAGATGGCTTCTTGCGACTGCTTCGTTTGGAAGCTAATGAGGGGTTTTGTATAACGACTACAAATTTTGAACGGCAGACGACTGCATCAATGTTTCGTGCGGAGCATAAGTCCACGCACTGTTTGCAAACATCTACAATGTGTTCACTTTATTGCTATCACCGGAAGTACACTATTTGGATTAAAGAAGCATGATAGTTAAAAAGACTGAGTGGAAGGAGAAAAAGAAAAACACGCTTGAAGTCTGTGAAATGCAACAACAGGATAAAACGGCCTACCAGCCAGGTGTGCTACTAATAACACACTGCGTTTTAGCTAATAGTTACAAAACTCAAATTGTTCATGAAGAGTGGTTGCAAGGATCTATAAAAGTGACGTAAAAGTAAATTCTTCTGGTTTCTTTCACCTCCTGCTAGCGGAGGATGGGAGGGATCAGGCCTTTGATTGCGCAAAAAAAAAAAAAAAAAAAAAA